CATCTCGACGTGGTTTCTTTTGTTTTATTCCCCTAAGCCTCGGAGCCAAGTTAGAATTTTCATATATCGGAAATTCCTATTTAAAGAAGCGTCAATGAGCGGTATAGAATAAACAGATTTTTTGAAATACGTTTATAACGTAAGTGGTCTGTCATGATTGAGTATGGGGTCTTTGACTCTTTTAACGACCATCCTTATATTATGTCAAATCTCTTTTTGGTTAAATAAAAAAATAAAACAGGGTCGCACTATCTAAAGCTCTGGCCAAACGGACTCTCAAGTAGTTGCAAGCAGCCGCACTTTGATCTTTGGCAGAGACTTGCGTCGGGTGGCTAAACAGACTCGCAAGTTTCCTCACCAGTACACGCAAGTCCCAAAAGACCCATTTCAAGGCAGACATACCCTGTATTTCATTGGCTGATAATATGTTAATGGACGTCACTCAACTAGCGTTGACTTGGGTTGGATGGCCAAACGGTAAAAAACTTGCGTCGACCTAGCGTGCAAATTTGATCTCGTTCAAAGTGAGGGCAAGTCGTCGCAAGTCATCGCAAGTGCACGTAAGGCCTGGCCAAACGGAGTCACAAGTAGACCCAAGTTTTTAACTTGCGTTCTACTTGCAACTCCGTTTGCCCAGGGCTTAACATAGCGTTAAACCCTGGCCAAAGGGACTCGCAATCAGAACTTTGGTCCAACGGTAGCGTTTTCATTCAAGAATATATCCAGGATGTACCGAGAACGCGAAAATAACACAATACGGGATAATGGTATCCGGTGTCCCACCACCGGGGACGTAACCGAAGAACAATTTACAAAACACTTGCATGTACAGTCGAACCCCTATTAAACGGCCACCCTTGGGGAGATGGACTGTGACCTCTTAAAAGGGTTCGGCCGCTTAAATAGAGGTAGAAACAATAGAAAAGCCATCACTGGGACTTCGATTGCTGGCCGCCTAATAGGGGTGGCCGTTTAATAGGTGGCCGCTTAATAGGGGTTCGACTGTATCTCTAAACAAATGATATAATATTTCGTTCAGTTTAGTTGGCGGGAGCACTCAATGCATCCGGTTTCGGTAAATTATCTGTTCTGAAGGCTGGCTGTTCTTGAGAGAATTTAGCCTGCATAGCAAGCGTTTCTGTGGGGTTCGGGAACAAAGAATTACAGCGCGAAAAATGGAGCGAGTAAAGTAGGGGGGACGGGGAGGGGAAGGAAGGAAGTTAAAATTTTACATGTAAATTAAATTGCGATAGTTCTATTTTTCAAACCGCCAAGAAATAGACAAAACGTATTTACTTCAAGATAACTTTTAGCTCAGAAGAATGATCAAAGTGTAAATTACAAACTGTGGGAATATGAAATCCAGGCAAGTTTCCTTCTTTCTGTACTGGCCTGTTGAAAATGTGCAATTTTGCATAAATTTCATCGGCCATTTTGGTTGATTGTGCGGTATTTCGAACTTTCCTAGATTTCACAAAAATGTGAACTCGCTGGAACTTTGAAGGTATATTTCTGAAAATAGTTCACGCAATAAAAGAAAATTCGAATTTTCCGACCTGTCGTCGGGTTCTCCATATTTACTGGCAATGACTCTTAAAATATTTGAGAGAAAACCGCCGATGACGGCCCCTGACTTGACTAAAGAAAGAGAGCTGTCTTACTTGCCTTGTGCTACTTCTCCTTGTCCGAGTATTAGCACGCTTCGGCTTGTAAGACGTGACCTTGGAGATTGCGGTTTCCGTCTTGGATTTCAACAGACGGATAAACATGATCGCATGACGAAGGGACGAAGGGACGAAGGGACGAAGGGACGAAGGGACGAAGGGACGAAGGGACGAAGGGACGAAAGGACGAAGGGACGAAGGGACGAAGGGAAGAAGGGACGAAGGGCGAAGGGACGACGGAATGAAGGAATTATTGAAGAAGCAAAGAAACGAAGAAACGAGAAACGAAGGAACGAAGGCACGAAGGAAGGAAGGACAGCAGGAAGAAAGGAAGAAAGGAAGGAAGGAAACGAAACGAATTCGAAACATAAATTTAAAATATTGGCTGTCGTGGCTCACGTTCTCTAGGATACGCAGAATTTGGTTATTTCACGCACGATTTATTTTGCAGAAAGAGACAAAGATTTACAACACGTGCGCACAGCCATTGTTGTGCTCGTTAAACCTATTGTTTAGTAACGTTTCCGTTGCCGTCGCCAGTGTGATTTGCTTTGTTACGGGTTTTAAAAAACCCCTAACAAATCGTTTCGCTTAAAGAAAGGAACGCCTAGAATTCAAAAACGACCGATGCTACGCGTACGTTTTTTGCGCTGCTAGCTTGCTCCTCAACTGGCCGAATGGAATAGAAAGAGAACTCCGAGCTAATGCCATAATGCTGGGCTGGGCTGGGCTGGGCTGGGCTGGGCTGGGCTGGGCTGGGCTGGGCTGCGTCGCGCCGGGTTGCTTTGCGCATTTTGGTTGACTTTTCTTTTGACATATTCCTTGTACAATCGTCTCTTGGAAAATGCGTACTTAATTCTTACAATCTTGGGTACGCTTATTGGGTATACAGTAGTTTGGTAAAATTTAACTAGAAAAAGAAGTGAAACCCTACGCTCAACTATTTATGCTGACAGATGAGTTTGTTTAGTTTATGATCCCAGAAAAACAAATTGTCTTTTTCCTTTATGGTTAACGGAGCTCTTCTTTTAGGCTTGGCTAAATCTATGTAAGTTTTATTCCTAATGGATACCTTGACGGCTAAAATAGTGGCGTTTTGTCTTGAGCACCCTATGAGAGACCAAATCTGGGATTTATTCTCCTTTGCGAAGCGATGAGCATCCCTGACCTATTCACATGAGAGTCCCTGCCCCCACCATTACTAGCCATAAAATGAATGCTGATCAAGGTGGAAAACTACCAAAGAGATTATAAAAATCGCCAAAATTAACACGAGCAAGGATGTTTAATAAATCGAGGGAGCAAAAACACTCGATAGGCATAAATGGCCCTCAAGACAAACTGCATGTTCTCACACAGCTGGCAAGCAAAACTGAAAAAAAAAAATGATTGCAACACAGCACAAAATCTATTTCGTTAACTTTCATTTCCTTTCTTAACCAAGCAATACTACTTTCTAAAATCCCTAACCTTGAAACTACAAATCTGCTTTTTTGGCAGGCTTGTTTTATGCATTTTGCAGGCCTTGTATTGCACACTGACAGACAAATGATTAAGTCTACTGTAGTTACTAGTTCCCAAATATGTGTAACGGTAAGACACAGTTACTCTTACAACTGATCCTGTTTAGTACCATTTGCAGCCTTCATTTGGAGAGTCACAAGTGATGTGCCAAATAACAGCTGTAATGGAGACTAGCAGCAAGAACTCTCTCTCCTCTGCACAGGCTCAGAGGTGTTTTGGTGTTAGGAGAATCCACTGAGTGATGCAAGTACAGGTGCAGTGTTACTTTAAGGGTAATGATGGGGGTACAGGATCGATCCATTCAACTTTGCACCTGCACTAACTTGGCTCAGTGGATTTCTGTAATGAACATCCAAACCTCTGGGTAGGACACTGTGGAGGGTCCTTCAGAAGAGAGAAGCTAAGACTTTCTATTGAAAACGATTGTACATCTGACTGGAAAGAATTTAATTAGCCAAGTAGAGACTTTGACAAGTGCAACATTATCCTAGGAGGTTGATTCGTCTGTATATTTAACATTAACATTAAGAGGTATAAGTTTTTCTGATCCTAGAATGCTGTCTAATAATGTTGACAGAGTGGTGAGGTCTTCCAGCATCAATCTCGTATTGTGTGAGACATCCTGCAAGCAAAAAGGAAATTAAGAAAATTTTATTCTCTTTTCTCTGTTCCAGCATCTTTGTCAGGTTGGCTACTCAAATAATTATCTAGCTTCCATTAATGTCATTAATATTCCTGGGTATGCACTGGTCAGAGTAAATAAGTCTTTGAATTGGTATCTCTTCAAACAAGATTTTGATCACTTATTGGGCTTATGCATGCATAATTTAATTAAAAATAAATTAAAACATCTTCATTGATTAATGCGCAGTTCCAGAAAATATTCGTACCCACCCCATGGAAGGTCACTGGAGATTCCAGGGGGGTGGGGGTGGTGGTGGGGTAGTCTCAGAGCCAAACATCTTAAAAGGCAATATGAAACTACATGTGAGCTGGAATTTCCAGGGGGTGGAAGGGGGAGGGGGTTACACTCAAAACCCTTCTGCAAGGAGAAGTACATAGTCATATTTTCTGGGTTCACAGACTAGATTCTGTAACCCTTGAGACTTTTGTTTCTTTCAAAATTTCCAGCAAGCATGCTTAGGGTCCTCTTCACGTGGATTACTACAGTCAGTCGACCAACAAATGTATGCCAAGTATCAGACAACAGTCGAACCCCTATTAAGCAGCCACCTCTATTAACGGCCAGCAATCCAAGTCCCGATGAGGGCTTTTCTATTGTTTATACCTCTGTTAAATGGTCAGCCTCCTTTAAGTGGATACCATCCCTTTCCCCCGAGGGTGGCCATTTAATAGGCATTGAACTGTAGTTACATGTAGCTGGCTTCAATAAAGACCCTTACATCCTATTCAGACAATCTTTTTCCATTTAATATGGATGAAAAACTGCACAGTGAGTTAAATGAACCTGTAATTCAATAACACATTACCTGTGCTGCTGTTTGTGCTCTGCTGAGATGGAATGTCGAGCTTTGCAGTTTATCAACTGCCGACTTGTAACACTTAGTGAAGCCCTCTACAAGGTGACTTCGCAGCTCCAGATTTCTTTCTCCTAGATTATAAAAGGATCACAAGCTAGTAAATTAATAGCCTATCAGCAATCTGTTCAAACAATGTTGTGTTCCAAAACTATTGTGTACATGTATAATTATGCACCTGTGATAAATTCTGGATTGGTATGCCTGGTTGAAATGTGCAAATATTGCATACACTGTACAAGTAGTTAGAGAAAAAAGGCTACAAAGTCATGTACATGTACTGGATGACTATGTAGCAGAGAAGCAAAGGAGAGCAGAGGGTGTTCCCACAAACACAGCTACACCCTTAGAAGACTGAGATGTCATACTAAAGTATAAATTGTAAAAAATTAAGATAGGAAACTGCTCCCTTTTCTTCCTAGTGCTCCTAAAACCTTAAGCCACATGGAAATATATGGCGCTACATGTATATACATGTAATTAATATTAATAATGCTACATACTTACTCAGTTTACGGTGGAAGGGGCTAATTTTATGTCCACGTATAATGTATCCATATTTCCGTATGTAAAAGCAAACAAAAGTAATACATTTGCATTATTGAAATAATTACTATATTCATTTGACAGCTTAAAAATTAATATGCAACAACACATTAATTGCACATTACACTGTATATGACATTTTGAAGTGAAAATTTCAAAAACATGTATCAGTAACATAAAAGATTGTAGATAGAGTTCAATAATCACGAAAACTGGAATCAAATTTAAACCCCAACATAAATAATAGGAACAATGAGTCGAAAATACGAATTTCAGCTGTAAAATTTTACACATTATATTTGTAATCTTTTTTATTATATTTGTAATCTTTTTTCATGATGGTTTCAATTAACCAGAAACCCATTAACAAAATTAAGAAAAGGTTCACTTTCTCTTTTATTTGAAAACTTTTCTTTAACTGTTGACTCGGGATAACTATTGCACAATCACTGACTTTGACTTTTTAATGTCATTTACAATCAATTACGCACTTACGAGTCAAACTTGTAAACAATCTTCTGCCTTTTGGTTTTAACACCAGCACTTGTGTCCAGTTCAAATTCCTGCAGTTCACTATCAACATCTTGATCTTCTTTCAAATGTTTACTGTCTGTCTCTGAGTCGTCATCGCCTTTCTCATTTCTTTTCTTGTGATCAGCATCATCATCATCTTCATCATCAGTTTCAGATGCTTCTCCACTGACCATTGTGCTACTCACCATTGTGTTGCGCATGAAGGACGTCGTGTTCTGGTCGGGTTCACTGTTGGAAGTTCCATCTCTACTTGATACTTCTTGTGTTTCCTTTTCCGTTGTTGGCTCAGACCTTTAGATAAAAAAAATTCACTAAGAAAATTTGTATTCATCTAATGCTTAGTTTATTAAGACTCCAGTGCTGTCATTCAGTTTTCAGTCAATTGCAGCCTTGATCTTCAAACGAAAAACAAAACAAACAAACAACCACCATTTTATTTTGTATAATACAGAGAATATCATACAGCAAAAGAATACATTAAACTTAAATAAGCAAAAACACCACTCAAAATAGTAAAAACTAAACAAGCTGAGTAGACCAATAACAAACTTGCTACCTTTTGAGTGGTCAACTTATTACCCATAACATCAAGGGCCCAACAAATATACTCAGGCATAGCTGGTGTTGTGCGTTATGGCCCTTATTGACAGCCCTGGAAGATAATTCTTTACCTGCTCTGAATACGTTCCTGCAATATTAGGATTTCAAATTTCCAGCAAGCTGCTATGTTTAATTTTCCAAAATTTGCCAAGAAATTATGATAACATTGTGACTGTGTAGTTGAGTATTTTCAAAATACTGCACCGTGTGAATTCAGAGATATGAAAGTGCTACTGAACGCAAAATCTTCTTCGGTAGACTCCAAACACTCCATGAGGTAAACATGGCGGCGATCGGGTGATTCAAACGTCGTATTCAAACCACTTAAAGAGATATCACCTTAAAACCCAAGAACCAGTTAAAGGGAAAACTTCAGTATACTTTCGAGCTTAATCTATCTTTCACCCAAGATTCCCTAAGGGGATGGGGAATGTAAGAATACAGACCATATTGAGAAGAACATCTACCGCAGATGTTCTTCTCAGATTTCGTCAAGACTTTGTCTAACAAACAACACAACAGTCTTAAGGCTTGTGTCCATAATTAAAGCTTAGTCATCAACCCCAATCAATAACGTTTTTCTAAAAAACTTTTTCCCCCATGACTCTCGATATAATACTCACATATTTGACAAATATTCATGCACCTTCTTTCATTATCCCGCAAACGTTAATCGGAGACGTGAGTGTATACAATACATGACATGGTCAATAATATATTATTATTTCGCTGGCTTCAAACTGGGGGCTCAGGCTAAAGAGAAAAATGGCGGACGAACAGAGAAGTTTCACAGTTTTGGTGAAATTCTGTTGATGTCTGCACAAAATGCCTCCAATAGAACTTCCAAGATTAACAGGCTCCTTGCGAGCTTTCTCAGGGCTATCGTCCCCACACTCACGTCCACCAGAAAATGGCGATGACTTGAAGAGAAAGCGGGAACTGAGATCGAAGAAGCAGCTGGAAAAAATTTTATCTTGGTCAGAATTAAAAGGTTTGATTTTAGACGCGACGAGTTTCGGTAAAAATGCTACTCATGAGGTAGGTAAATAATGTTATATTTTTAAGTGCGCGGATGGAAGCATTTTTTTTTTGTCTCTTTATCTTTTGCAGGACATTTTTTTTGGTACCTTAGGTCCAGTTCAGACGTCGTGCTTCTGCCGTNCTATTCACATGAGAGTCCCTGCCCCCACCATTACTAGCCATAAAATGAATGCTGATCAAGGTGGAAAACTACCAAAGAGATTATAAAAATCGCCAAAATTAACACGAGCAAGGATGTTTAATAAATCGAGGGAGCAAAAACACTCGATAGGCATAAATGGCCCTCAAGACAAACTGCATGTTCTCACACAGCTGGCAAGCAAAACTGAAAAAAAAAAATGATTGCAACACAGCACAAAATCTATTTCGTTAACTTTCATTTCCTTTCTTAACCAAGCAATACTACTTTCTAAAATCCCTAACCTTGAAACTACAAATCTGCTTTTTTGGCAGGCTTGTTTTATGCATTTTGCAGGCCTTGTATTGCACACTGACAGACAAATGATTAAGTCTACTGTAGTTACTAGTTCCCAAATATGTGTAACGGTAAGACACAGTTACTCTTACAACTGATCCTGTTTAGTACCATTTGCAGCCTTCATTTGGAGAGTCACAAGTGATGTGCCAAATAACAGCTGTAATGGAGACTAGCAGCAAGAACTCTCTCTCCTCTGCACAGGCTCAGAGGTGTTTTGGTGTTAGGAGAATCCACTGAGTGATGCAAGTACAGGTGCAGTGTTACTTTAAGGGTAATGATGGGGGTACAGGATCGATCCATTCAACTTTGCACCTGCACTAACTTGGCTCAGTGGATTTCTGTAATGAACATCCAAACCTCTGGGTAGGACACTGTGGAGGGTCCTTCAGAAGAGAGAAGCTAAGACTTTCTATTGAAAACGATTGTACATCTGACTGGAAAGAATTTAATTAGCCAAGTAGAGACTTTGACAAGTGCAACATTATCCTAGGAGGTTGATTCGTCTGTATATTTAACATTAACATTAAGAGGTATAAGTTTTTCTGATCCTAGAATGCTGTCTAATAATGTTGACAGAGTGGTGAGGTCTTCCAGCATCAATCTCGTATTGTGTGAGACATCCTGCAAGCAAAAAGGAAATTAAGAAAATTTTATTCTCTTTTCTCTGTTCCAGCATCTTTGTCAGGTTGGCTACTCAAATAATTATCTAGCTTCCATTAATGTCATTAATATTCCTGGGTATGCACTGGTCAGAGTAAATAAGTCTTTGAATTGGTATCTCTTCAAACAAGATTTTGATCACTTATTGGGCTTATGCATGCATAATTTAATTAAAAATAAATTAAAACATCTTCATTGATTAATGCGCAGTTCCAGAAAATATTCGTACCCACCCCATGGAAGGTCACTGGAGATTCCAGGGGGGTGGGGGTGGTGGTGGGGTAGTCTCAGAGCCAAACATCTTAAAAGGCAATATGAAACTACATGTGAGCTGGAATTTCCAGGGGGTGGAAGGGGGAGGGGGTTACACTCAAAACCCTTCTGCAAGGAGAAGTACATAGTCATATTTTCTGGGTTCACAGACTAGATTCTGTAACCCTTGAGACTTTTGTTTCTTTCAAAATTTCCAGCAAGCATGCTTAGGGTCCTCTTCACGTGGATTACTACAGTCAGTCGACCAACAAATGTATGCCAAGTATCAGACAACAGTCGAACCCCTATTAAGCAGCCACCTCTATTAACGGCCAGCAATCCAAGTCCCGATGAGGGCTTTTCTATTGTTTATACCTCTGTTAAATGGTCAGCCTCCTTTAAGTGGATACCATCCCTTTCCCCCGAGGGTGGCCATTTAATAGGCATTGAACTGTAGTTACATGTAGCTGGCTTCAATAAAGACCCTTACATCCTATTCAGACAATCTTTTTCCATTTAATATGGATGAAAAACTGCACAGTGAGTTAAATGAACCTGTAATTCAATAACACATTACCTGTGCTGCTGTTTGTGCTCTGCTGAGATGGAATGTCGAGCTTTGCAGTTTATCAACTGCCGACTTGTAACACTTAGTGAAGCCCTCTACAAGGTGACTTCGCAGCTCCAGATTTCTTTCTCCTAGATTATAAAAGGATCACAAGCTAGTAAATTAATAGCCTATCAGCAATCTGTTCAAACAATGTTGTGTTCCAAAACTATTGTGTACATGTATAATTATGCACCTGTGATAAATTCTGGATTGGTATGCCTGGTCGAAATGTGCAAATATTGCATACAAGTAGTTAGAGAAAAATGGCTACAAAGTCATATACATGGACTGCATGACTATGAAGCAGAGAAGCAAGGGAGGGCATAGGGTGTTTCCACAAACACAGTTACACCCTTGGAAGACTGAGATGTGATACTAAAGTGTAAATTGTAAAAAATTAAGATAGAAAACTGCTCACTTTTCTTCCTAGTACTCCTAAAACCTTGAGCCACACGGAAATATATGGTGCTACATGTATCTGCATGTAATTAATATAAATAATGCTACCTACTTACTCAGTTTACGGTGGAAGGGGCTAATTTTATGTCCACGTATAATGTATCCATATTTCCGTATGTAAAAGCAAACAAAAGTAATACATTTGCATTATTGAAATAATTACTATATTNGAGGGTGGCCATTTAATAGGCATTGAACTGTAGTTACATGTAGCTGGCTTCAATAAAGACCCTTACATCCTATTCAGACAATCTTTTTCCATTTAATATGGATGAAAAACTGCACAGTGAGTTAAATGAACCTGTAATTCAATAACACATTACCTGTGCTGCTGTTTGTGCTCTGCTGAGATGGAATGTCGAGCTTTGCAGTTTATCAACTGCCGACTTGTAACACTTAGTGAAGCCCTCTACAAGGTGACTTCGCAGCTCCAGATTTCTTTCTCCTAGATTATAAAAGGATCACAAGCTAGTAAATTAATAGCCTATCAGCAATCTGTTCAAACAATGTTGTGTTCCAAAACTATTGTGTACATGTATAATTATGCACCTGTGATAAATTCTGGATTGGTATGCCTGGTTGAAATGTGCAAATATTGCATACACTGTACAAGTAGTTAGAGAAAAAAGGCTACAAAGTCATGTACATGTACTGGATGACTATGTAGCAGAGAAGCAAAGGAGAGCAGAGGGTGTTCCCACAAACACAGCTACACCCTTAGAAGACTGAGATGTCATACTAAAGTATAAATTGTAAAAAATTAAGATAGGAAACTGCTCCCTTTTCTTCCTAGTGCTCCTAAAACCTTAAGCCACATGGAAATATATGGCGCTACATGTATATACATGTAATTAATATTAATAATGCTACATACTTACTCAGTTTACGGTGGAAGGGGCTAATTTTATGTCCACGTATAATGTATCCATATTTCCGTATGTAAAAGCAAACAAAAGTAATACATTTGCATTATTGAAATAATTACTATATTCATTTGACAGCTTAAAAATTAATATGCAACAACACATTAATTGCACATTACACTGTATATGACATTTTGAAGTGAAAATTTCAAAAACATGTATCAGTAACATAAAAGATTGTAGATAGAGTTCAATAATCACGAAAACTGGAATCAAATTTAAACCCCAACATAAATAATAGGAACAATGAGTCGAAAATACGAATTTCAGCTGTAAAATTTTACACATTATATTTGTAATCTTTTTTATTATATTTGTAATCTTTTTTCATGATGGTTTCAATTAACCAGAAACCCATTAACAAAATTAAGAAAAGGTTCACTTTCTCTTTTATTTGAAAACTTTTCTTTAACTGTTGACTCGGGATAACTATTGCACAATCACTGACTTTGACTTTTTAATGTCATTTACAATCAATTACGCACTTACGAGTCAAACTTGTAAACAATCTTCTGCCTTTTGGTTTTAACACCAGCACTTGTGTCCAGTTCAAATTCCTGCAGTTCACTATCAACATCTTGATCTTCTTTCAAATGTTTACTGTCTGTCTCTGAGTCGTCATCGCCTTTCTCATTTCTTTTCTTGTGATCAGCATCATCATCATCTTCATCATCAGTTTCAGATGCTTCTCCACTGACCATTGTGCTACTCACCATTGTGTTGCGCATGAAGGACGTCGTGTTCTGGTCGGGTTCACTGTTGGAAGTTCCATCTCTACTTGATACTTCTTGTGTTTCCTTTTCCGTTGTTGGCTCAGACCTTTAGATAAAAAAAATTCACTAAGAAAATTTGTATTCATCTAATGCTTAGTTTATTAAGACTCCAGTGCTGTCATTCAGTTTTCAGTCAATTGCAGCCTTGATCTTCAAACGAAAAACAAAACAAACAAACAACCACCATTTTATTTTGTATAATACAGAGAATATCATACAGCAAAAGAATACATTAAACTTAAATAAGCAAAAACACCACTCAAAATAGTAAAAACTAAACAAGCTGAGTAGACCAATAACAAACTTGCTACCTTTTGAGTGGTCAACTTATTACCCATAACATCAAGGGCCCAACAAATATACTCAGGCATAGCTGGTGTTGTGCGTTATGGCCCTTATTGACAGCCCTGGAAGATAATTCTTTACCTGCTCTGAATACGTTCCTGCAATATTAGGATTTCAAATTTCCAGCAAGCTGCTATGTTTAATTTTCCAAAATTTGCCAAGAAATTATGATAACATTGTGACTGTGTAGTTGAGTATTTTCAAAATACTGCACCGTGTGAATTCAGAGATATGAAAGTGCTACTGAACGCAAAATCTTCTTCGGTAGACTCCAAACACTCCATGAGGTAAACATGGCGGCGATCGGGTGATTCAAACGTCGTATTCAAACCACTTAAAGAGATATCACCTTAAAACCCAAGAACCAGTTAAAGGGAAAACTTCAGTATACTTTCGAGCTTAATCTATCTTTCACCCAAGATTCCCTAAGGGGATGGGGAATGTAAGAATACAGACCATATTGAGAAGAACATCTACCGCAGATGTTCTTCTCAGATTTCGTCAAGACTTTGTCTAACAAACAACACAACAGTCTTAAGGCTTGTGTCCATAATTAAAGCTTAGTCATCAACCCCAATCAATAACGTTTTTCTAAAAAACTTTTTCCCCCATGACTCTCGATATAATACTCACATATTTGACAAATATTCATGCACCTTCTTTCATTATCCAGCAAACGTTAATCGGAGACGTGAGTGTATACAATACATGACATGGTCAATAATATATTATTATTTCGCTGGCTTCAAACTGGGGGCTCAGGCTAAAGAGAAAAATGGCGGACGAACAGAGAAGTTTCACAGTTTTGGTGAAATTCTGTTGATGTCTGCACAAAATGCCTCCAATAGAACTTCCAAGATTAACAGGCTCCTTGCGAGCTTTCTCAGGGCTATCGTCCCCACACTCACGTCCACCAGAAAATGGCGATGACTTGAAGAGAAAGCGGGAACTGAGATCGAAGAAGCAGCTGGAAAAAATTTTATCTTGGTCAGAATTAAAAGGTTTGATTTTAGACGCGACGAGTTTCGGTAAAAATGCTACTCATGAGGTAGGTAAATAATGTTATATTTTTAAGTGCGCGGATGGAAGCATTTTTTTTTTGTCTCTTTATCTTTTGCAGGACATTTTTTTTGGTACCTTAGGTCCAGTTCAGACGTCGTGCTTCTGCCGTGCCGAACTAAATTCAGGAATTAAGTTCGACAAAAGCACGGCAGAAGCACGGCGTCTGAATCAAACTTTTTAATTGAGCTCGGCAAGCAGTTAAGTTCGACAAGCTCTGCCGTGCTACACGACTCCGGCACGACAGTGATTCAAACGTCGTGCTTCTGTCGCGCCAAACTAAATTCATAAATTATGTAAATGTGTTTTGGCGAGATTGCGTTCCCTGACGGGAGTTAGTAGGAGAATTGCTACGAGGCTTCAGTAAACCCCGAATTGATTCGACTCTGGCACGACGTCTGAATCAGAGTCAAACCAAATTGCAATTTAGTTCGGCATGGCAGAAGCACGACGTCTGAACTGGGCCTTAGTTGCCCATCTCCCCATCAAAAATATAATAGTCCATACTTAATAGAAATAGGTTATTATTGAAGATTTTATAAATGGTGTCAGAATTTTTTGGGGTGGTGAGAGGGGCATGCGGGTGGAGGTAGTTCTGGTGGAGGTGGGGGGAAAGAAACATGAAGGAGGAATTTTTGGATTTTTTTCTTTACTGAAGTAATTAATAGGGAATAAAACCCAACAAAGTTCCAGCACTGCAACAGAACTCGTTACTGATCATTTTGCAAGTTGATTATCATTTTATTCCTTTCAAAACTAGACTACGAGTGGTCCCTCTTTTGCTTAGTCTGTCATGCATGACGTGGAAAACTGCGAGAAAAAATGGCCGCGCGAAATCCTGGGGGCGAGGAGGGCGTGAAAGGAGGGCCTACCGCCTAAGCCCAAGAGTTTGCCCTTTCACGGCTCAGTGATTTTTCAGTGTAGGATTTCTCATCTTGACATCTTCTTATTATTGCCTGTTGTCAGTAACCCGGGGAGATATCCTGAATAAAATTGCTCTACTCTACTCTTCAAGTAGCCAGGCAAAAAGACATGTCATGAGAAGTATATCTTCTTTCAGTGTTCATTCAGCGAGAATGAGGAATCTTGTAATGATTTTCGCTGTGTCTGTGGATGTAAATCTAAAAGTTATTGTGAAAATTTCAAATGCAGAGTTTCAACCGAGAATTTACATTATGTATTTGACGTAGGAGGTCATCCAACTGGGGTGAAATGTTTGCTGATAGTAGTGGAAAGTTTCAGGTGAATGTCCGGTTTCAAGTGAAAGTCCGGTTCAATCTTTCAAATGGATGGCAGAAAGGCCAAACTCAGTGAATTTATCGGATTTATATTCACTGACTTGGACGATGCTGTTGAGCGGCGAAATGACTAACATGCTCGCAGTTGGGCTGGAGGTGGAAAGCTTTGCCAAACAAAACACTGGATAAATTTAAATCTTTCCAAAGCCTGTTGGCAGATTTGCAAAAACATCGCAGCTTGCAAAGCACAATTCCAAGACTTTGATTTGCTCTGGTACCACTTCGATTTGCTCTGGTTCCAAAACATTCCTGTAAGACGTCACACATATCTCGAATGTTGACAACATGTTGTCAACACTCCTAACATAAGCCAATCATATTTTTGTGTTGTGAGATCAACACATAATTCAAACTCCTAGGCTTAGGCGGTAGACCCCCCTTTTGTGCGCTCCTCGCCCCTAGGATTTTGCGCAGCCATTTTTTTCTTGTGGTTTTCTTTCACATCACGCATGATGGACTAAGTGAAAGAGGGACTACTCATAGTCCATTCCAAAATACAATGCAAAACTTAATGCAAATTAATCAATTACAATTTTCTCAAAACTCTGCTTAAAGGTGACAAAAACTGCTTGTTAACATAAGGTTCAGCTCAACTCAAATGAAAGAAATCTTGATTTATTTTCTAATTAATAATAATATTCTTTTAGGTGAAGACATTGTTAAAGGAGCTTGTTCACACTTCGGCTGAAATTGGTATGATTATATGTTAATATATATTTTCATGTTGCATCTGTACATGTGTATGAGACACACAAGTCTTATTTAGACCCAAGCAAACAACAGAACATTTCTCAGGACACATTGTCTCACAAAATGTTAGCATGTTTGCATACACTCCCAGCAATTCTTGTTGAAAAATTTTGTTTCTGTGAAGCAAAAGACATATTGTTTCAGCATTTTTGTCAAAAAATTACACATTGAAACAGTTTAATTCTATAGCCCTGCTGGAGCTGTAAAATCATAGGGCACTGATAATAACATTTTAGTATGCTGCTTGGATTGTTTAGATTTTAACCGCAAAACACTTGCATTTAACCAGTGCTCAATAGATCGTTTTCTCGTGACGTCATCACTTTCAAAGATCCAAAACTAAAGAGACACCAAAGTTTTTATCCTCATCAGGCATAAGAGGCGGTATATTTATATCTGTTTACAATTTTACAGCTCAATAGCATGCTTC